AAATATTTTATATATATTTAAGCTGTGAAAGTTTTTCAGAAGCTATTCTGTGATTTCAGAGCCCAGTACAGGCAAAATCAACACGAGATTTGCCAGCTCTGCCGTGTCAGCCCATGAAAGCCAAATTTGTTTTTCTTCTTTTCACCACCAGTTACCTGGATTCTCAGGATTCAATTCTGTTCTCTGAAGCTCATGTCAATGCAATTCAGGGCAGACGCTGGTCCTGCTACAGGGAACTGTACACACACTATTACACCATGCCTTAACGAGAATATAATTCTGCTCTTCTCAAAATCAGAAACTCACATTTTTCAATAATTCAATTAAGTGTACACACTCCTTGTGTTCTCCAAATAAGCTACGTTTCCACAATTGTAATTATTATGCAATTATCCATGGTTTTGCAAGCTCTTTGTGGCAAGAGACAAACGCCAAATTCAACAGCCACAAACCGGGCTGTCACTCTTGCATCTCTCCCTCATTCCCTTTAATCTTTGGTCTCCCAGCACTTTTGGGAGAAGGGCAGAGCCTGAGGCAGAAGAGCTTCTGTGAAGGCTAAACCAGAGTTAAAACCCACTGTGATCCTGTGTTTAATTATATGATAAATAAATGGGGATAAGGGTTTTATGCTAATACCTGTTTTTTTAAGTGTCTCATGAGCTACTGTCTCATAAAGTTGTAATTATCAAATGTGAAGAAAACTTTCATCTCTCAACTGATCATCCTCACCTTTTCACGTGGTTTCTGAATGCACACCTGGCTCTTCCTATCTCTTTATGTGGGGATTCATAAAACCTCAAATAAGAAGCTAAATAGTACGGGAGCAGCCCTTCATCCGATACACTCTCAGCAGAATTGACATTCACTTATGTAAGCTGAGGATCTGGCTCCCAACTTCTCCCAGATTTAATGTCACATCTCCAGACTAATTCATTTAACTCCTTGTTTAACAATTAAAATAAGCCACTTAACATTTCACATCAATTCCAGATACTACACTCTGCATATCTGTCAAGACCTAGCTGTTCCTTTTCTATAGATGCAAATACATTGAGTGGGCAAAGAAAATGACTTTTTTGTCAAATTTGTTTTGAATCAATGGAATCTATTTTAGAATGACGTGAGGCCTGAAAAATGCTGGGGGACTGTCCGAGTCTGTTAGCGCTTTTAAGTAAACAAACAAAACCTGCTTTAATTTAGACAAATTTCCAGGCCACGATTGTCAGAACACCACTAAAAGCTCTTGGTTATTAAAAAACAAAATCCAAATAGGAAACAGGAGCTTCACAAGGAGGAGGAGGGCTCCGTGGGAACCTTCCTGCCTTTGGTCTGACAATCCAAAAAGCGTGTTCTGGTTTCCCCCAGCATCCGGTGCACTCCAGCAAGTTTCTAAATAAAGCCGAGTAAAACCTCCACTCAAAGCTGTAGCGTTCCCGAAATGGCACGTCTCGTCTCTGCCGGCAGAGCTGCAGCTCACGGTAAAGACAGCAACCACATCAACATTTTCCCTAAATGCTGCTCTATATATTCTCAGTGCTCAGCTCCAAAGTAGCTAAAATAAGCACTTAAAATAACAACTTCAAACACTTGCACAAGGCTGCAACCATTCAGAAGAGCTACTTCTTTCTTACCTCACTCAATTTCCCTTCAGTGTTCATTAAACAAAGGATGCTAAGGCTAGATTTCAGCTCGAGGACAAACATAAGTCAATTAGAATCTATTGGCTCCTAATTACAGGATTTGTTATATATCCCAGGCTGCCTCCCAGTACAAAAACAGGTGACTGATGCCTTCTCTTCATGATAAACATTCACTTACGTACATGTGGAGGCTGAAATGCAGTGAAGAGTTTCCTTTGCTTTGAGCAAGCAGCATTCAGCTTTCATGAGAATGTTTAATCCCTCTTTAAGCCTTAGTAAATGCAACCTGTATTATGTACAGCATATTCTGATTGTGAGCACGGATTCTATCTGAAAACCTGTAAAAAAATAAAAAAAATAGCCAATGTTTAACTGCAAAAGGTGTTTGCAAACTAAGATCACATAAAATGTAACTGCTGTGCAACACCAGCAGCTTAGACATAATGGATCTTATGAGAGTCTAACACTTAATTATAGAAAATGAAATAAGCAGCATGAAAATCATAATTGAACAGCTGTCCCTCTAATACATTCACAGAACAGAATACTAAAAAAATCTTATGAATCTAGGGAAATTATATATGGGTCAACTTAAAAACCAAACCAACTGAAATTCAGAAACAGCAGGAAGCCCAAATCTCACTTTCAATACATATTCAAGCATTTTCGTCAGCAATTCCTTCTCAAGCAAGCTGAGCACCCAGCATTTTCACTGCCATCAACACCTCTTTGAAGACCAGACCTCCTCAAATGTACTCTCCTGCTTTACATGAGTTTCTGTCACCACTCCTTTCTTCCTCATTATCACCTGCACCACAGAGAACACAAAAATTCACATAAAATCCCACAGAAAATGCAAAAGCTCTAGATAAAGCAGCAGAGTGTCTCCTGTCTCTCATCTTCAGCTCTTTACAGGTTTCTCAGACTGTTGGGAGAAGGAAGTCCTGGTTACACCATGGAAGGAGGGAAGATGTGAACTGAAACAACCACCACCACAAATGTCCCAAACCAGCCTGAATGGTGCTAACTTCATATGCCGGCTGCATCAGTGCGTACAACATGCATCAGGATCACAAGGGAGCGCAGTATCAAAGATGGTCCTATCTGCTGGGAAAAAAAATTAAATTAAATTACTATAGCTCAGTGTATCTCAATCATTACTGTCAAGATTTTCTTAATAAAACACACAACTTATTTACCTACAAATTCTTTCTCCTGCCTATGCTGGATACTTACATTCACAAATGTATTAGTCATCGCTTAATTATTGCTACAGAGCCTTATTAATATGTATGGATAAAGAGCTCTCTGGCAGGAAGGCATTTTAATGAAGTCGCTGAAAGGCAACATGCAGTAATTTCTAGGTTATGCCACGACTAACAGTAGCAAACGGACTGAAGCAGCCCAGGGACAGGATAAGGTACAGGAAAAAAAATAATTATAATATTTTAATGATAAACATAATTAAAAAGCGTTTAGGCAATTAGATTAACCAGTAACAGCTTCAAACGGCTTACAGCTATCCTTGAGAAGAATGGCATCACTCAAAATGCTGTGAGTGCCCAGCAGTGCCTGTAGGACACACAATGCGCTGCATGAGAGGAGGATGTTGAAAATGAGACATTTTGTGGCTATCCTGCATTTAATGGCGAGCGACGCACCAGCGTGTTGAGGCTACAGTCGGCTCTGTAACATGCTGTATTGCCCAACCACACGTAATTCACAAATCAAACACACATGCTGCGTAGGTAACTGCACTTATTTCCTAGAGCAGCAATTTGCTTTCCTCCTTGTGGTACGTTTTGCCCTTCCAAGGTGAAGTTCTCGTTTTGGCAGCTTTACCTAAGCCTTCCCTAAAGGCGCAGGCCCAGCGTGTGCCATGCTGAGGTGCCCAGAGGGGACTGGGGTAGCAGAAGTCTCGGGTGCGGAGGGAAACTGGTCCCAGAAGGGGCGCAGGGCGGTGGCCTGCCCCCCCCGAGCCAGTGCAGCGCCAGGAAAGCCCAGGAACGGGGTGGAGCCCGGCCCCGTGGCCACGGCAAGGCCGCTCAGGCAAGCCCGTCCCGGGCACTCAGGGCAAAGGACACCCCAGGCAGAAGACAACCGGGGCAGACAGAGGACGCCCGGGGGCGGGCCGCCCAGAGAGGCGGGCCCGTCCCGGAGGGCTCAGCGGCGGCTGCCCGAGTAAGCGTAGGAGGGGTTGGGGGGCCGGCCGCGGTGGGCGAGGGGCAGGAGGAGAAGGGAGAGGAGGCAGCGGTGGGCGGGCAGACCGGGGAACTCCCCCGGAGGGCCCCCGGGCCGCGCTTCCTGCCCCGGGAACGGGCGCTGAGGAACCATCCGACCCAGCCCCGCCGTAGGCCCTGGCTGGGCCCGCTCTCTTCAGGCCTCGGCTGGGTTCGCCCTTGGGGCTCTGCCTCCACCTCAGGGTGCTCCCTTCATCGGGCTGGGTGCGTGTTGTGAGGCGAGAACCGGGGGGATGCTCCCTCACGACCCCCACCTGAGGTGCGGTGCCTGTTTTGCCTCCTGTTCTGAAAGGAATGTAAAGCTTAATTTTTGGCAATAAATGGTGTTTCTTGTCCCGTCTGTTCTTAGGGTCATGTGGAACAATGTCGCTTCGTGTGCCCTTGGCAGATTGTCCCACAACGCCACACCTCCACTGCTCCCAGCCTTACAAACCTTAAATAGTGTGTCCGAAAGAAAATATAAGGGTTTCTGTCATGGTGAACAGCCAATACGTGAATTGTGCATTCATTACAAGTGGAAAAGGATGCACGATATGCTGCCCCGCCGTTTAGTAAGTGATAGAACAAAATATAGACAGTATGCAAAAAAGTACCCTGTTTTAGATGGACGTATCCTGTCTGTGTACCGACATGCGTTTGAAGAAAATTTAAGGAACAGTGAGGCTGTTATTAAAAGGTAATACACTGTTTCTGTGATGTTTTGAAAGTGTTGCTGCTTGTGAGAGGGTGAGAGAGTTACTTAGAGGCACTTTTAGGAACTTTTAACATAGGAATAATGCTAATTAAAAAGTGCAGAGACTAAAACAAAAAAATAAAAGTTGGGGCTTTTCCTAACCATTTTGAAGATTAAGGTTGTTTCCTTGCTGCTTTTTTTTCTGGTAGCTTCTCTGCAGAGTGAATTTTACAAGGTTCAGCACTTAAAAATTTCAGCCCTCCAAAAGAGGTGCCTAAATGTTGACTGAAATGCCAAAACCTCAGTGCAGACTGTATTTAAAATAGTGCCATCTGACACTGGTTTGCATATATTGCCAAGGAGTACTTTTTTGTAGACCTTGGTAAAATTTGTTTTGTGTTTGATTTTGAATGCAAAGACATAAATGGTGACTCACGCACTTCCAGACCCCTCCTGAAAGAGTAGTTGACGGTTATTGTATTTAGTCATGATTCATGGATAAATGGAAAAATGTGTTTTATGTGTTTGTCCTTAAAAGATCAGATGGTGAAAATTCAAAGGCCTTTGTTTGAAGGAGTGATACAGGAGCTGGGAGCAAAGCTATGGAAAACACACTGTGCCCTCCTGTGGTGGCATTTATGACGTTATTAAAAATCTTTTGCTTTTTTCTCCTGAGGTTTTTCAATCCCTACAGTCCACAGGAAGCCACGATCAGATAATGGAGTCACGTAGAGAGGGGTGCATAAATGGTTGTGTCAAACAGTAGTTTTAGTTAAAGATGATGCATCTTGATGCAAAATGTTTTATTTGAAATAAACAAGGAACATGGTTTATTTAAGACCAAAATTATCTGCTATACCACATTTGTTTTCAGTTTATTCAGTTCTTTATCTGTACTTGATGCTGCCTTGACGATAATACCATATCTTGATGGTCATGCAGTGTTCAGCACTTTTAAAGTATATCTTCCATGCTGTGGAGAGTGCATTTATTCCAGGTGTAGTAATTTATTCAACTTACCAGTTACTGGTTTTTGTCAGATGAACTTGTTGAGGGGAACTGAAAAAGGAAGCCCTTGACTGGATTCTTCCCTAGAGTAGCTGAAACATGGAGATAAATGGAGGTAATTAGGACTAGAAAATTATGATTGTTTTATTAAAAGCTGCAGGTTTATAGGCTGGCGTTGTAGGAGGGCAGGATCTTTCAAAGGCAGCTTCATCAGTATTCCACTTGTAGGGTTGCTGGCAGAGATTAAGTGGGATTATATATTGTGAAATATTGTGTGTTGGGTGTGTATGGACACCACCTCGGAAGGATATGGATTTAATAATGTCTACTACCTAAGTACATAAATGACAGATAACATAGTTGTATTATTTCACTCTTTTTTGCCTTTATCAGACAATTTTTGAATACTGAAACTAAAATGCTTGCTTTAAATAACGTACCTGTGCAATACATTTAAGTGCTATGTTCGGTCAATTAAATGTAACTTGTAAATAAAGGTGGTATTCATTAATTGTAACTTTGTTTTTTTAAATCAGGTATTCAGAATTGCTGGAGATGGTCCATAAAGGAGGAGGAGAAGATGCCGTCTTGCGCCATACTCAGCGCAACAAGAAGCTGTTTGTGCGTGAGCGCCTGAAGCTGCTGCTGGATGATGAGTCCTTTCTGGAGCTGTCTCCACTGGCAGGTCTCAATCTGCCTTATGGCGATGTCCCGGCTGCTGGGTGCCTCACTGGTAATTGCTGGCAAAATAATAGATGTAAGGGGAAATTGGTGCAGTTCATTTCTTTTATGTAATATGGTTTATTTTGGTATCTTAAAAACCTGCTTTCCTAGGGATAGTGAACATCAGTTCCATCCAGTACAGTTCCCAACATGGAAGAGTTCAGCCACTGCTGTATTAATTCTTCTGTGACTTTTCTAGGAAATCTGGAAATCTTTAAAGGAAAACAAGTTCTTTCATTTCTTCTTTCACTTAGTAATTTATTCTGCTTACCAGTTACTGTATTTTATCTCAAAAAATTAGGATGATGTGTCAAATAAACTATTGTCTGTTAAAGGAAAGGGGACCAAGTTGCTGCAAGACACAGAAACTGCGACATTTATTTTGTAATATTTTTCAAGTTATAGACACGTCTTTTCATTGCATTTTGAAGAGC